TTAGCCAGCGAGCGAAGAATAATCACTCCCCAAGCGCTGCTCCAGGCTTACTCCTTCAATCTGGTTCTCCAAACAAAGGCCGCAAGAAGCAACAGGGTCTAAACATGAACTAAGTCCCCCTTGGCAAAAAAAGCAAAAGAGACGCTTCTCTTCAGGCTTGATCCAACAATGGAAAAGTTCCCATGGACTGATTTGCCAGTAAGATGAACACTGCGGGGGGGGGGGAAGCACCCATACAGCACCGGCCTGCTGGAGTTGGTCATAGTTTTGGAGCAACTGGTTGAGAAGCCTGGAATTTAAGACACTCCTTCAGTTGGGTTGAACGATTCTAAAGAATCTGAGAACAATTTTGGTTAAAAAACACAGTCGTTTAAGATAGTCGACAGGCCTAACGGAGACTTTTTAATTGATAGTTTCATCCTGTCGCCCTATAGTTAGAGGAAGGAGCAGGCTGTCATGCCAGATACCCTAAATGATGTCAAACAACTTCTTTACAGGGGTAGCATTGTCTGGTAACAGCACAGGGCTGGGTGTCAGACCACCTGGGCTCCTAATTTGCTCTCTGACCATGGGCATTTAGGCCCTGATTTAGCACAATCCATTGCAATTCAGCACAACATGTGCTTCAAGCCTATTGATTTCAACGGGCCATGTGCTTACGTGCTATGCGAAATAGGGATGGGCTTAAGCGTGTGCATAAATGCTTTGCTGAATCGGGACCTTAACGTTTGGGCATAATTACCGAATGTTGCTTGTGTAGCTAGCCTAGCTCCATATGTTATTCCTCCTCTTCCCCTCCCCCCCCCCAACATATTGCATGCCAGTTGTTTTGCCTAGGGTCAGATGGGAAGAGGGTCCCATTTGAGAAGAGAATTCCATAACATATTTAAGAAACCACTGCTTGTTTCTTAACCAGCTGCTCTAATTTTTCCTCTGGCTTTAAAATGATCCATTGATTTTAATAAATTTGGCCCAGATCCACAAGCGCAGACAATTAGAAACAAAAAGTAAATTGGACGTAAGCACAAACTTAAAGTTAAGCATGTGCTTAAATGCCTTCCCGAATCAGGGCTCAAGTGAGCTTGCCTAGCGAGCTGGTTTTTTTCTCTTAGCTCTTGTTTTGATTGTGAATAAGGGGACAGAAGTGAAGGTCCCAAAAGATTTGGGACAAGATTTGAGCCAGCCCTTGTCCAGAAAGTGAATCCAGATGACCACTGTGGAAGAACTGTCTTCTTTGTAATTTTCTTGGGCATATATCTCTGTTCCTCCTCCTCTCTTCTGTTCTAAATCACTTTCATGGATGCAACGCTGCCAGGAATCCTGAAGATGCCGGAGCCCTGAGAAAATCCCCCAAAGCCCGAGTCCCTCTCCAACAGCTTGAGGTTAGGTTGGTATGATAAACTAAATGCAACTCCCATCCCCGTCTTCCAATCATCAGTCCTATCCTCACTTCCATTCTCCCACCCCAAAATATCATATTCTGGGAGCCAGAAGTCTTACTCTATTTCATATCCTGCCACCTCTGTTTTTTTTTTGTTCTGTTTTTAAAGGTTTGAGCTTAACAGAACTTCTCATGGGCACATTTGGCAGCAATTTATTTGAGAAATTCCTAGAGAGAAGCAAGCCACAGAAAAATCCCCCGAGTTGCAGAACTGATGCAAATTACAATATATGTAGCAACCAATAACCAGTAAAAGGGACTTCAGGGAAGGGTTGAGGATGGGGTACATTGCCTGGCGGAGAAGTTAGTGAACATTTAGAGGTGGAGAACAGAGAGTTTGGGAGGGGATGATAGCTATTCCCTGACTTTCCCCCTTTACAAATGACTCCAGGTGAATCAAAGAGCCGAGGAGGCGAACACCAGTCCGTGTTGGGAGCTTTATGGGACTTGTTCTGAAAAGTTTGCTCTCGGGGCATAGCACTGTACTGAAGCAACCAATTTTTGTTAATAAAACACACACCGTGTGGGCCATTCTCGACATGAAATCACTGCACTCCAGAGCTTTCGGGGGGGAGCAGGGGGGACTACTGCTCTGAGCCAAAAAAACTGACTTCATGACTCCCCAACTGGCCTAAACTGTAAGTGATAATAATATTCTGATTCTTGGCTTTCAATGGGAATCAGTTCCCAGAAAAGGCCAGAAATGATCCAGCCCCACCAAATTGTAGTTAAAAAAAAAAAAAAGGGGGGGGGGGGGAAGCAACAGCCTCATGGAGAAATGTTTGCACGTTCCCAGAATCGAAGCTAATTTTGCTACTCAAGGTTCTATTCCCCCAGCGAGGCCACGCCCCTTCGAACGTTAAAGCGCCTCCCCGGCCTCTCATTGGCTGGGCTGCGAGGTTCCAGTTCGGTGGCTATGGCGGCGGAAAGGTTGCCTTGGCCACGCATCCCTGTGTGAATGCATGACGTTCGCAAGGCTGGCGCCAGGCTGTCTGGAGCGGAGAGTTAGATCAACACAGCTGGAGGGAGAGGGCCACAGCTGGGCAAAGGGAGCAGATTCCTCAACAAAAAATAGGATTGTGAGAAAAGTTCTTAAACAAAAACAGTTCAAACAAAAGCCTTAATGACATCCTTTCATAAAAATAAAAAATGCAAGGAGGACTGGGGGGGCGGGGGGGTAGGGAGCAAGAGTGGGAACAGAAAGTTCAGGGATGCTCCGGGGCTGCCTGTCCAAACAGCCAAACATGTTGCACACAGAGAATCTTTGCCACACCAAAAAAAAAAAAAGTTATTTGAAAAATCAGCCTTGGGGATATTCCAATGCAATCGCTCAGTTTCTGGAAGGAGAAAAAAATAGGGTTAAAGATGGAATGTTTGCGGGGGGGTTAATGAGAAAAAAACACAGGGATGGGGGGGCAGGGCTGGGAAACATATTTTGGGAGGCGCTAGGAGGGATGGTGACTTGCAAGAGTGCTAAAAAAAATTCAAAACTTAACATTAAAAAAAAAAAAGATGGGGGGGGACGACGGGACAGCCTTTGGATAGTCCAGGCCAATAACCCAGATTCTGAAAAATAGGTTAAAGATGATTATTTTTCTTTAAAAACAAACAAAAACCCACTGCCCCATCAAGTTCAGGTTTATTCTCCAGCTGCCACAATTTGAGTGAAGATTTCCCAACAAATTTGGAGTGAGGGTTGAAAGTATCTCATTGCAATGTATTTCCTCAGGGAGAGAGGATTTTTTTTAAAGGCCTTAAAATTAATCCAAAATTAGGGAGTCTCCATACTCTCAAAGGAGTGAGAATTGGCAAGGTCAGAGGAATATAGAAGGGTGAGGGAGGAGGAGAAAATAGTGGGGTTACCAAAAACTATCTACTTTAAAAAAATAACTACTTTTTTTTATAAAGATTTAGTAATGTGCAATCTAAGGTTTTGAAGGAATGAATAATTTAAATAGCTTTTCCATTACACTAAGCAACCCCCCCCAAAAAAATAAATATATATTAAAAAAAAACCATTGTGACATGCAGACTGCTTAAAAACATGGAAATTGACCATGGTTAGAGTTGTATACCCAAGGGGGTTGGGGAAGTGATTTTTTCCAAGCCTGGCTAAATGTGAAAGCAGAAGAGAGAAAAGCAAAAAAAAAAAAAACCAAAAACAACACTTATGTTTTGTTTTTTTGGAAAAAAATACACACAACCTAGGTTTTAGGCAGATCTGGAGTAAATTGTACTTGTGGGCAGGCATAATTTACTCCAGGTGCCGTGGCCTCCCCCAGAGCCCCTGAAATAAGACAGTTTAAGAAGTAGTATTAACAGAAATAGCAAGCGAGGGATTTGGGGAACCAGTAATGGGCTGGGGGGAAATTAAATGGCCTACACCATTGTCATGGGCCATAAAGTATTCTTTCCAGCGCAGTTGCCCACTCAGAAATAATCAAAACACATTCCAAAATAAAGAGCCGGCCCTTGGAAAAATCTCCAGGCTTGGGATCAATAATTTATATCACACAGCCCATTTGAGATTGATTTTTAAAATCCAGTTAAAATGTAAAGAGAACTTTTTATACCCGCTCCTCAGCCCCTTCGCCCCCCTTCCACCAAAACTCTCTGATTCGACTCTCTCATTGACTTCAGTGGAGTTAGTCTGGATTTACACTCAAATGTGAGTGGGAATAAGGCCCCAAGCGAATTGGATCTTGTTTACACCCCAAAAGTGGGACCCATCCATAAAGTTTGTCCTTTTAGTTAAACCGATATAAGCATGTCAATTGAGTGTTTTACCCTGGTCCTGTTGTTTCAAATAAAATAAACCCATACTTATATATATTCCTCCCCCCCCAAATGTTTCTGCAGTCAGAGTTGCTGACCCAAATCTGTTTTCTCCACGGTAACCTCAGCTTTACCGCAATTACTTTTTTTTTTCTTTCTGGTCACAAGATAATTCCTGACGGCAGAAAGTCTGGAGGTCATATGAGCAGCAAATTGAGGAACAAGGCGCCACTAATTTCTTACAAGATCCCCCTTAAAAAAAAAAAAAACCCGAAAAAAATTCTCTGCTGTGAGGGGATTTATGGCTTTTGTGGGTTCTGAAGTTTTAGGGGCTGCAGCCTGGGAAGGGGCTTTGCAAACATGCACTTTGAAAGCGGGGTTTGTCTTTTCCAGCCCAAGTTTTTTTTTTTTGCTTTAAAGGGGACGGGATTAAAAACGATGCAAGGGAGAAGAACTATACTTTGAATTTTAAATCGTTTTACTTGAGTTAAAAAAAACGGGGGGGGGGCAGGAGAGCTAGGCCCGCCCCGTTTGTAATCAGAGCTTCCTCATTCCTTTCATGTCCTCTGCTCTTTGGTGTCAGCCCAAGCCAATGGAAACCTGCTTTGCCATTTAACCAGCTTGTAAATGCTCAATGCAACATTGCCACCGACTGTCACCAGAGAGGGAGACGGGGGAGGGGGCGGGGCCAGCGGCGCGGCTCGTTTGCATAGAAAGGGGCGGGGCCGGAGCGCCTGGCGTATAAAAGGCCAGAGGGGGCGAGCCGCCGGCAGCCCGTTGCACGGAGGAGTTGGGGTTTGCACGTCGGGGATTGCACCGCGAGAGAGACGTGCAAAGCAGCCAGCCGGGGGCGGGGGGGATCTGCCAGCCGGAGACACCCACCCAGCGCTGCCAGCCCAGCCCGGACCATGAAAGCCATCAGCCCGGTGCGGTCCGTCAGGAGCTGCTACGAAGCCGTGTGCTGCCTGTCGGACCAGAGCCTGGCCATCGCCCGGGGCAGCCCCGGCAAGAGCCCGGCGCTGGAGGAGCCCATGAGCCTGCTCTACGACATGAACGATTGCTACTCCAAGCTGCGCGAGCTGGTGCCGGGCATCCCGCAGGGCACGAAGCTGAGCCAGGTGGAGATCCTGCAGCACGTCATCGACTACATCTTCGACCTGCAGATCGTGCTGGAGGAGCAGGCGAAGGGCCAGGACACGGCCGCCGAGACCGCCCTCCTCTCCCTGACGGTAAGCACGGGGCCCCGGCTTAGAATCATAGAATCTCAGGGTTGGAAGGGACCTCAGGAGGTATCTAGTCCAACCCCCTGCTCAAAGCAGGACCAATCCCCAACTAAATCCCCAAATGGCCCCCTCAAGGATTGAACTCACAACCCTGGGTTTAGCAGGCCAATGCTCAAACCACTGAGCTATCCCTCCCCCCCCCGGGAAAAGCCCCCACCACACCACGTCCCCCTTATTTACCTATTTCCCTTCTCTCTGCAGGCCTCTGAACTGTGCTCGAAAGACGAGCGACGTTTGTGCCATTAATGTCTCTTCCCCCTCCCTCCACCAGGTAAGACATGGACCACGCGCGTTCTGGTCAGTTTCCATCCCCAGCCCCCTTCTCTGTCCCCCCCGGGCATTCGCGTGAGTGGCTTCAAACTAAGCCGGGGGGGGGGATGATTTGAAACTGCCCCCCTTCGTGCAATCCGCGCCGCTGGTGCGCTGTGCATCTCTCGCGTCCCTGCCCTGGCGATTGACTGGTTTTTTTTTAACCAGCCACTGTAGTGGAATGAGAGCTGTAGCCATTGTCCGTTCTTGTGCCGGCGATGCGGCCTCTTTCCATCTCCTGCAAATGGAGTCCTCCTGTCCGTTCTTTCTATAGCGAACTCTGCAGCTGCTTAAACAGCCCTGTTGAAATTAGTAGAATCAAGAGGCTTTTTTTTTTTTTAAAGGGGGAAAAACATGTTTTCAGGCAGGAAGGCACCGCCAAACATGTGTCCCTCCCTTCTAATCTGTGTAATTTTAGATCCATCTGTAGAGAGTTAGAAACAGAAGGGCTAGTCTTTTTTTCTTTTTTTCTTCTTCTTGGTGCCAATTAGCAAACATCCAGCATGAGTGTTGGTTCCTGATTCCTTATCAGTTGGAGGTAAATAGAAGTTTCCTCTCTCTGGCGCCAGGATGTCTAGTGCAGACCTGCCTCTGATCTGCTCTGAATAACTGACATGTCTCTTTCTCTCTCATCCCCCGCCCCCCTCCCCTCTACCCCATTCAGACTGCAGGTGTGGGATCACAACGCTTGGCTCTCTCCAAGGGAGGAGGAGAAGAGACCTTGACTTGGAAAGGATCAGACTTCAACCCTATGCATCCAATAATGGAGGGACCTCAGCCTTTATCTTCCAGATATTGTGTCTGTGGAGCATGTGGCACAAGGCATTGGATGCTTGGCTGGTTTTTCAGTACTGTTTCCGCTTCCCCACTCTGCTTCTCTTGCCTGAAAATAAATCTCAACAGGCCAGGAAAGACTTTGATTCTGCCCCCTCCCTCCCCCAACTAAATGGATCCGAACTCTTGACTATTTGAATTTAACCGCCTCATTGCACAAGGGCAAGAAATGCTGGGAACTCCTGACTCCTTGAGCATCATCTGCACTGTAAGATCAGTGTTTTATGTTCTCGAAATCCCAAGTGTGCTAGACTGGCTCCCCAGTCATTATATAGATCTCTTTAAAACGTGGCTGGCTATAAAGGAGACCACAACATGCTTTAAAAAGACTTGCAGAGATGCAGTTGTATGTATATTTTGGATTATAGTGTGATATAAAAAAAAAAAAAAACTTAAAGGGGGCTGGGTAGAGGGTAATACCAACAAGAATTTCAAAACAGCTGTTCTGGGGCTGTGGCCTCATGTTTATTGTTGAACTCTATAATAGAGTATAACGTTTGTACCTTTTTTGCAGGAAGGTGAATTTCTGCGATCATGCATTGTACTTGCTTTATAAACTTTTTATAAAAGTTAAAAGTTTTTACATAATAAAATTTTAAGTTTGGTTTTTTTGAATAATCCTTCCCTTGCCCCAAAATTCTGAAAGTCACATCAGGGTTACTTCCTTGAAACTTGAAATTCGCTTTGGGGAGAGAAGTAACTTTACAAAAAGCAATTGCAATAAAATTGATCCATATTGAGTTCCCACTTCACGCTGTCTGTGAGAGGAATGACACAAGATGAGCTATATTACTTGAATCAAGTTGAATTTGCAGTTCAATAATTTTATACTAATAGTACTATTATGGCTTAAAATGTCAAATCATGGATCCTAGTAAGAATCAACCTTGTTACTTACTTACTATTTTAACTTTAACCTCTCTTTTGCAGAACAGGACTGTTAGGTAAGATGGGCCTGACCCCTACCAGTGTGAGTGCCATGTCAGAGTTTGAGTTGACGGTGATTTGGGGCATAAGGTGGCCATGGACAAGAGTATTTCCTACTGCTCTTACTACTTCTGTGGGTGTGATGTGTGGGGTTGTTTTTGGTTTTTTCCCCGCCCCCTCTTCTGGGCTCAGTAGCATAATAGCTGATGGTATCCACAATGTTATAGAAGGCCTTGAAATGGCTTATGGACCTTTGCTTTGCAGACAGTCCTCTGTGTGGGTATGCAAAAGAAGCATAACTGGGCAAACCTTTTTAAAGGAATTTTTATTTGACCTAATGGGCCAGTCCTGGTCTGGATTTAGACCAACACCAAAATCCAGAACCTTTAGCACTCTTTTGCACAGCATGCAGGTAAATGAGGGCTGGGTAAAAAAATACAATTAAAGGCTTAGAGATGATGGGTCAGTGTTACGATCAGTTTCTAGTAGAAACCCCACCACCTTTTTTCTTATTAAAGTTGTTTGGCCGTTACTCCAGATTGCCCTGTTCCAGCCAGTTTCCTCCAACATGCTCCAGGTTCTCTGCCTCCTTTCCCTCGGCAACAGTTGAGATCACACAAAGGCCAGGCCAAGCAATCTGAAAAATCACAACAGGAAGCACAGTGCTTGACTGCTGTCACAAGCTGTGGGTTATAGGAAGCCAGTTCCATTAATGGAATGTTCAAGAGGGATAGTAGATTTGTTACCGCCCTGGTTGACTTAGCACTAGACAGATTGGCTGCTGGTGTTGTGCTGTGATCTCCCAGCTGCCATCAGACAAAATGAACTAAGTTCCCTAGTGCTGAAACTGGGATGAATATGATCCAATAGGTGTGTATAGTTACAGCTCCCTTGAATATGGTGCTTAACACGAAGGCCTAATTACCATGCCATAAGGACTATCTGTTGCTAAATAAACTCCTGCTGTGGGTTGTTTTTGCTTGGGTGGGGGGAATGAAGTCTGCCATGTGTACCATCCTAAGGAGGAGGGGAGAAATTCTAGTGCTTTGAAGTATATAGGGCTGTCTTGACCCCTTATATCTCATCCTTCTCTAGGCAGGCCAGAGTGTCTCCATGGGTGTTATTAATACCTCATCCTGCATACAAATGGGATGCTTCTGGTCTCTAGTGCTCTGCAACTGTCTTCTTTGGTTAACCAGTTCGTAGAGTGGCTGCAGATTGCTTGGGTCCTCCTAATCTTGAAGATGCAGCAGGCTTGTAGCATAGCCCTAACCTTTCCAGGTCTGTGAGATCCAAGGTTAATTATGGGTTGGAATACCAGAAGTCTCAATAGTTCCTGGACCCATCATAGGCGGCTTCCAACCAAAATGGAGGTGAGAGTTATTTGAATTAATCAGGTACTTAATGCCCCTGTAGTCAATTTTTCTCTCAAGATCTTACCTCTGTTGCAAGGCCAGTAATAATGTAAGTTTACAGGGATGTTAAGTGACGTACTCGAGATCATGGAGCAAGGGACAACTGGCTAGAGAACCCAGGAGCTCTTAATCACTTAATAGACCCTCCCATCGCTGTGAATAGAACCCAGGAGTCCTGGCTTCAAACCTCACCTGCTCTCAACCCTAGACCCCCTTCCATAGCTATGAACAGAAGAACCCAGCAGTCTGGTCTTGCATATACTGCTCTAATCAGTGGACAACATGTCCTCCTTTTCACAACATTATCCAGAACCTCAGAATTGCTCTCCTGTGCTCTACGGTTTTCCATTTGCCTTGAGCAGAAATAACCTGGAGCCCACCTTGTAAATCAGCTCAGGTATGGACCCTGTCAACAGATGCCAGCTGGGCAGTCACTTGAATGTGTAAACACCTATGCTGTAGCCTTGTATCTGATCATTCAAAGGTGAGTGACTGGCCTATCTGGGAGGGCATGAAACCACATGCTTGATTGGAGTTGGGTTAGCCAGAGGCCTATGGGGTTGCATAGGTCACTCCCACCCATATCCCTGATCCACCAACCCAAGAGCTATCTCCTCTACCTGTATTCCTAGCTACTCTGGTGCCAGTAGCTCATGGTAGAACGAATCCTCTAGTTGCCCTCAGCTTCCTGAGGGGAGAGTTCTGCTTTGGTGCCATTCGTGGCTTCCTAAGGTAGGTTCAGGGGGATTAGCAGTGGCTATGGCGACCTTTCAGGTTGGGGTGGAGGTTTTGAGCTGAGACTGCAGCTAGAAAGTGGCACAGGGCTGAGGAATGTGCAATATGGCTCGGGGGGGTGGTTGTAGGCTATACAGTCTTTCACCTTTAAATCAATGGTTGAAACCCAGGCTCGACTGGCAATGAGCAAAGGTCACTGCTCTTGGTCGGTGGTGTATGTGAAATGAATTCCTGATCCTTCTCCAGTTCCCTCTTGGGAAATGTCCCAAAAGCTTGGGGGGAAAGTTAGACTTTTTTACAGAGTGCCCTATAGATTGCAAACTGGCAGCATGGTCTAGTGGTATAAGGCACTGCCACCAGCTCTGCTGCCTAATGGTGGGCAAGTCCCTGCCCCTCTCTGTGCCTGCTGCCACCCTTTATCTGCCTTGTGTACTGAGACTAAGCTCTCTGGGACAGGGACTGCCTCACTGCGCGTGTACAGCACCTAGCACCATCAGGCCCTGTTCTTGGCTGGAGGCTGGTGGTTGCTGTAATACAAATAATAGTTGTGTTGGACCAATGGGGAAGCCAATTCCAGCTTTGATGGTCCCTTACTGAGAATGCCCTGATGTCAGTCACCCCTCTCGGCCCCAATTAACCCAGGTCAAGGGTTACCAGCTTGCCTGCCTCAGCGGCTGTGGAATCAATCATAGCAGGAGACGGTTGGTCTCTCAGATAAGACCAAACCATTTAGGGCAGTGTAACTGGAGATTTTGCTTTTCCTTACCTGACCACAGCTGTGTGCATGTATGAACTTAATGTGACTCCCTGATCCCCAGTGTAACTCCACTGAAGTCAGGGTGCTGCAGTTGGGTAGGGGATTGGACTTGGGTGCTAGCCTTAGCTTTACCACTAATCTGGCCAGGTGCCTTTCTGTCTCAGTTTGCCCCTCTATAAAATGGGTAGAATGACACTTACTGCCCTTTAGAAAGCACATTGCGATCCTCTGAGGAAAAGAGTATTATGGCATCAAGGATGAGTTTTGCCTCACGATTGGTAACGCAAGCTCCATTTTCCGGGAAAGGCCGTTTAAATTGACACGTACCATCGCCTCACTGATGTTGCTACCAGGAGCATCCAGTGAAGGAAAGTGTGTGTGTGTGTGTGTGTGTGTGTGTGTGTGTGTGAATGCAAGCCCTAATAAATAGTGATGACGGGCTCCTTCGTGAGTGATTTATCATCACTTTTTAGGCTCCAGTGGGCAGCATGGATTTCCTGCAGTCATACCAGGGACAGAGTAAGGCTTGGTCCACGATTAAAAATTAGACCTAGCTATGTCGCTCAGGGCTGTGAAAAATGTAACCCCCTGTGCGCTCTAGTTAGGTGGACCTAATCCCCAGGGGAGATGCAGCTAGGTGGACGGAAGAATTCTTCCATTGATCTACCAGCTGCCCCTCGGAGAGGTGGATTAACGGCAATAGCAAAATCCCTTCTGTCAAGGTAAGAACATGGCTGCAGCGACATGCTCTAAGTCTGCGTACGGCCTGGATTGGTCAAAGAAGCCAGAGCTCTACGTCTGCTTGTGTGTTTCCTTTCTGCTCGAACCCAGAGTCTCCAGTCCTGGCATCCCCGTTCAGGGCTGCTTTATGCTACAAAGTTAGTCTGGCTTAACTGCCTTGCTGTGGAAAAACGGCATGCCCTGTGCGATGGAAGTAAGCCACCCCAAGCCCCAGAATTCTTCCGTCGACTTAGCTACTGCCTCTCACAGAGGTGGATTTATTACAGTAACAGTGTGATACATGTCGACACTGCAACGGTGCCGCTGTAGCATTTCTAGTGTAGCCGTAGGCTTGGAGCATGACCTGGGTGGCCCCTGTTACCAGTTCAACAAATCCTCCTTATGAGCCACTCTACACGTGCACAGCATCTGCTCTGCACGGGCCAGGCGGTGAACCCCTTCCCCATGTCTCTGAGTCCCTGCCCCGCTCCTGTGAGTGACTTCTCCCTAATGTGATAAAGAGGTTCGCGCTCTGTTCCTCTGTCTTTAAAACACACAATCACGGCGCCTGGCCAAAGGGAACATCCTGATGTTCAAAATGCACTTAAGGATCACTTCACCCTCCACTAAAATGCAGCCACCTCCGGGTGGAACGCAGCAGCTGCGGCAACCTCTAAGCAGCGACAGGAAGTGAAGAGACATCCAATTGAAACGGCCAGGGCAGAATTTTAGTGGGGCCTCATGTAACTCACTCTTGTGCTCTGGCCACATTCAAGCATCAAGTCTCCGGAGATCTTTAGTAAACGGGCCCAGTCTAAAGCATCTGAGCAGTGAGCGCCTTTGTTGTCTGTAACAGGGCTCCTCTATACTATGGTACTTCCCACAGTCCTAGCTCTGTGCTGGGAGACTAGTTCAGTACTGCTCAGAGGGAAGAATGCCACCTACTGAATGACCACGAGCCTTTTTTAGGAGGAGTGAGTGAGTGACTCTCCTGGTGAGTTTTGCACAAATCCTGCAGCCGGTCCAAGGTCATCCTTGGGGGTACATCACCCA